CTTAAATATAATAAAATAATAAAAATAATAAAAACAACATAAACTATAAAAATAATAATAAGAAATAAAATAAATTATAGACGTTAAAGAAATTACAGGTGAAACAGAATAAACAGGATAAACAGACTGTATAGGAAATACAGAAAGAACAGATGTAATAGAAGAAACAGAAATTACTGCTGATCACTGTTTGGCACAGCGGTGACATCATCTAATGTGAGATCATTATTGATTGACATATCCCACGTGATATTTGGAGTTGCAATTTCTTCCATTGACAATATATTATCACATGTAATTATATAATATAGCATCAATTCTTAGTAGATCATCCTATAATATACAAGCCAATTTTATAAGCTCAATTTAGTCAAACTGAATTTAAGCTCGATTTAGTGATGATAATCAACGCCAAATATAAGTTTTTTAGTTAACAATGTCAAGTAAAAATAATAAGTTCGCTAAACTTCTTTCTTAAATTTTTAAATTTTCTTTTTAATATGAATCTAAAGCAGATTAGAGCTGATTGTAAACAATATCAAGAATTTGATTTTTGTTTGCGTAAACCTAAATGCACTTGTATAAAAAGTTCTACAAACCTAAAACTCTATAGTATTATTTTAGATGATATAACCTCTTCTTTTACAAATACCAAAGTTGATACTATGAACTATATATTCGAAAAAAAGTGGGCTTCATCATCACAGATATACCTAAATGATGATTTCTCTCCAAATGATTACCAATCCTCTATAAATGATAAATCATATAATGACAGTTCTAGCGATAATCAAGATACTGATAAAGAGTCTATTAGAAGAGAGTATGATAGCAATAAGAAACATAATCATTACACTGGAAATACTAGATCATATTTTCCAAATCTTACTAAATTTCTAATATTTTTATGGATTACAAAACATCAAATAGGCTTTGAAGCATATAAAGACTTTGCAAATATCATCAAAATGTTTCATATTTGCTTATAATTATTAAAAAGTATCATGATGGCTTACCATTTCTTCTATTTAAAGGTCACAAAGTCACCCTCAACAATCGCAATACTTTTAAACCTACCAGTAATGCTTTAAATTTTTTTTAAAGGACATTCTTCATCATATATTAGCAAATCCATTATTACGTGAGAATATATACTTTAGTTCAGATGTGTAATATAAGAATAAACATAAATTATAGTACAGAGATCTCTGATACAAATCCTCATTATTCAGTAGTGTATATATAAAACTAAATAAAGGTAAATATAATATTATTTTTTTTAATTTAAAATCTATATGCTGTTATACTAATTTATTCATTAATTATATTGTTAATATGAAAATAATAATATATAGTCTTAGTAATTTTATTACATATACGATACAAGCCAACAAATATGTTATAAGCAAATTATATCAATCTTACGCACTAATAAATCTTAAGATAGATGTATCAAGATTGAATGTATTCTTGAATTTAATTTATTGCCTCCTATGCTCAAATCTCAACAAAGAAGAATTACTTCTTATAAAGGATATCTGTAAATGACTGATAAAACACTTGTCATAAATTCTACAAAGATTAAGTCTAAAGTTAATATTTGGTTAATTGATATTAACAAGCCTAATAATTATCAATATATTATCTGAAATTGTGTATTGTATAAATATGCAGTAAATTACGAGATTGATTGATTTATGATATCTTCATCCTATTGAATATATCACGATTCAGGATCATCTGCATAATTTGCCAATATTCAAATTTTTTCTTGACATTTATATCAATAAATTCAGTCTGTTTTCTATTACATATCACGCCATCAGTGGTCTCTACTTACAAATCAGTAATATGAAATAAATGTTTCATTAAAAGCTTAAAAATCACTTTCTTCTTGATTTTATCCTATTTGCAGTAACGAGTGATGAAATATCCCAACCACTTATTAATAATATTCAAGACCTTAAATGTGAATACAAATTGAAAATCAGTAATCAAACTGTATAGGTTAGGTAGATTAGGTATCATTACTAGTGACTTTTACAATGCACATCATGGATACTATAACTGTATGATTCATTATAGCAAATTAGATAATGTTAGTTTTAACACTGTGAGACATAGTCATTACCATCACAAAATCATATTATAATTTTCTACCATAAGGAGCGTTCAGACTCAAGCATAATGTGATGCACTTGCTATGCAATACAGTATATGAGAAAAATTCTCTATCTTTGATAATATTATACGTGATAGTCATCTTCAATATTTATACGATACTTTTCATTATATGGGTGATCTTGCCAAAGAGCTTCAATCAACATTTAAAATCTTATCTTTAAAAGGAGAGACTGAATTTTTAAAAATTTGGCATGACTTCGAATTTTCCCATATTGGTCTCGACAATAAAATCCAATTACCCATTTAGGCTTATATTTTTTTCTGATTATCTTTGTCTAAGTATAATTATGCTATTTCTCATTAATCAGATATTACATATCATGATACTAAATAAAATATTTATCGAATACGTGATTGAGACATGCATAATAATAAAAAGTCAGGTTCTGAATAAACTGTTAAGTTTATGAGTTTATTTCTCTCAGATGGTATCTCTGATATTTCACAAAGAATTTTCTAATATTGATTATAACAATCTTCAACAAAGTATAATACTATAGTCCAGACTGGTTGCAAAGATAATTGAAAATTTAATATTGATAGTTTGATTAGTATATTTCAAACAATTTAACCTTTTTTCAGATTTTTTTCAATATTAGTCGATTAATGAATTTTTATATATTACACCATTTTATTATTCATACATAGAATTTTATGATTTTAGTGAATATTTCAGTTGCTATAAAGAAATAGTGTATAGACTTTTCAAGGCTATTATCTCTTATTCAAACAAAAAAAAATATAGAACTGAATTTTATGCGTTGTGATAATTATTTGCAAGCATTACAGTTTCTAATAGATAGTGGTATTGACGAAAGATATGATAAGACAACATACATTAATTTTAGCACATTGTCAAAGGATCAATATATACATATATTACTTGATTCATGATATATTTTGCCATCAATAATAGATTTAGAGCAGAAAATGATATATAATATAACCTGCATAGATGAAAATTTTATCAATATAAGAGTCCAAAAAATATATAATAAGAATGATCTACAACTACTAGCTTTGAGAAAGTTCTTAATGATGATTTATTTGCTGAACTTAGACATGCATATAAAGAAGAACTTAGTTATGTTAAACATCTTACATTACAAACTGTAAAATATTTTAATAGTATTAGCTATACTATAGTTGATAATGATGATCGAGTAGATGTAAAACTTCGTATTGGTAATACTGTAGATGTTTTAGAAGATATATCAAATGATACATTGAAAAATCCAAAGACAGTAATTTTATATGCACAAATTTAGGCAATTTTTATTCATACAAGAAATCATTTACATATTTCTTTTTTATTACTAAATTAGTTTGTTTCATTAAAATGATAATCCAAAAACAGTAATTTTATATGCACAAATTTGGGCAATTTTTATTCACACAAGAAATCATTTACATATTTTTTTTTATTACTAAATTGGTTTGTTTCATTAAAATGTTATGATTTAAAATTAGGATGTTCATGATATAGACTTCAAAGATTAACAGATCAAACTTAGTATTGAATTTATATAGTTAAATGGGTAGATCATCAACCAAAAGTGCATTTTGTATATCAATGTCAAAAATTGGGTTGTCATAATGGAAAATACAGACCCTCGCTAAAAGTCTCTGAACGCTTTTTGGCTTAATGTATAACTTAAAATTTTAAAGTTTATTAAAAAAATTTATTAATTTATTTATTAATGTACGATATGCTACACATTCTGTACTAAATAATTAGTATTTGGTCAGGCCTTTATTTGCTTCATCACAGCCCAAATTCGCTGTAACAAATCACTTCAGCCAGCTTCGCTGCGAATCTTTAATTAAGGATGGTTGATCAGAATGAAGCCTCGAATTAATAGTTCTGGTTGTTATCTATTCTTTTTAAAGTTCTAAATGCTGTTAAAAATTCATAACTGATATTTGCAGCAATAGCCTGGTAACTATCGCTACATTGACGGCAAAATATATATCACCACATTGTTCTTTGAACATTTTCGTGATTTTCAGAAGGTAAATTTTATTTTGGTTAAAAATCAAAATAAACAAACCAAATACGCTTTTATTTGATTTTGATTCAAGCAAACAAGGTCAGTTACATTACATGACCACAGTATTTTACAGTCATATGATCTATTCGGTATGAAATAGCCGAAAGATAACGTTCGGAGAGGAGACTTTTGGTGGGGTTTGTATGACAAAACAAACTTGTATTATGTATATAACATTTTTTATTATACAGCTGTATAATATATATATAATAAAAAAATAATTATAATTATATTATAAATCAATTACAAAACTATTAAAAATCAACTATAAATCTATTATAAAACTATTTCAATTTTTTCATATTATTTTAAGATGAAATTATAAGCCTAGATAACATAGTTTTAATGATTGATAATATATATTAAAAATATATCAAAAATATATCAAAAGTATATCAAAAGTGTATCAAAAGTATAATAAAAAAATTA